TGGGAACTCGGAGCGGGGAGGAGAAACTGTCGGAGGTACAGGGTACAGCCGAGCTTGATTGGAGAGGACACGCGAGAAAACACCCGGCCCTCGGCGCGCCGCCGAGAGAAGGCGAGGCGTGCGAGAGGGAAGACTCCCGGGTCGGAGAAGAGGAGCGGAATAGCGGAGACTTTCGGAGGCCCGCGCGGATCGCTCGGATCGGCGCTGGGCTCCCCTGGCGGCGGCTCTGGCGCGCGGGAGCGCGGGGCGCGCCAGGGGCGGCGCCGGAGTGGCCGCCCGGGGGGTCCAGCGCAGATCCAAGGCATCCGCGCGGGCCTCCGAACCAGCCGCCGAACCTCTCCAGCACGACGCGGGCGGCGTGACAGGGGCTGGCACAGGCTGCGCGCTATCGGTAGAGCGGAGCGGGGCAACCACACGCACACACACACACACACACAACGTGGGCTAACGCGCGTCCCGAGGATCATCGAGACGACAACGACCACGACGAGGACGACCCGGACGGCGCTCGGAGCTCGGAGAGGGCTCGTCGAAGGATCGGGGCTCGAGGCCCATATGCGTCTTCTTGGCCCCCCTGTCGGGCCTCCAGGAGGCTTCCCGTCGCCGCGGCTGGGTCCAGCTGGCGCTCGGACGACGACACCCAGGGGTGCCGGGAATCGAGGCGGGTGGCCTCCAGGCTCGGGGCTCGAGGCTTTCGTGGGCAGAGGCATGAAGTAGGAAGGCGCTGGAAGTAGATGGGGCTTCCGGCCGCCCCTCGAAGAGGAGGGAGGAGGGGGAACACCACTCGAACCTTGAAGTAGAAAGGCGGCCAAAGCAGATTGGGATCTGGGAGCCCAGTGATACCCACTTTCGACGACTGGCGTGCACGTCGTCGTCGGTTCTCGGCGGCTTTCCCTCGGACGCAGGAGGACATGCTAGCACTATGGTACTCTGCGCCCCCCTTGGAGGCGCACGCCCAAAAACGAACAGATAATGCAAACATCCCACAGTACATCGTTATCCAGAAGGTGTGGCCAACGGACGCCAGCCAACGAGCGGATTTCTGAGTGAGCGCGCGCGTCGCCCCAAGGGGGCCGACGCACAGACAGTCTCAGTGTGCTTGGGTGATGCCAATGATTCCAGCCTCGGGATGCCCTCCAGCAGCTGCGCCCCGCCGAGAGCGTTCCGGGTCGTCCCGCACGGCCGCCAGAGTCCAGAAATATGACCCGAAAGTCTTGACCCCACGTTCCGCACAGAAACCAGGACGGGAGAGCTTTGGCCATTTAGGCCTCCTGGGGGGCCCTTGCCAGGCCCCGGGGCCGTCAGAAAACAAGTCAGGATGAAAGCCGGGTCTCCAGGAAAAGGGGCCCGCATCATGAAAAGGTCACGGCGCCAGGGGCCTGGATACGACGAAAACGACGACGACGTCGTCCTTGAAACTTTATGTAGGCACTCCTGGAGTGTCTCGCCGCCGCGGCCAGACGCAGCCTGGAAAAGCTGGCCAGTCTTGGTCGGACGACGACGACGACGACAGGAGGAAATGCGGCAGGAAATGCGGCCCCAGGGAGGATTAGATTCTCGTTCTTGGGAACTTGATGAAGCCACTCGCTCCACTCACGCGTCGACGCTGCGTCGAGAGCCCGTCCACTTGAGCCGAATGTGCGTTGAACTTGAGTCGAACAGGAGGCAAACGATAGTCGAACAGATCTGTGAGGCGGGCCCCAGGAAGGTCTCCAAACAAGGATCCAGGGGCGCCTAACTCCGCGCTTCGCGCTGCGCGAAGCGCGAGGCACGAATCGCTTCGCGCTCTCGCGCCGCCCTCCAAGAGAGTAGAGGAGGATGAAGAGGACCCGGAGCAGAACCGCGAAGCGCGAAGCGCGAATCACTTCGCGCCCTCGAAGGCACCCTTGCGAATCCCAGGGGTGGGTCGAAGGCGAAGGCGATGGCGAGCGCCGATGCCGCTCCGCGCGTGCGCCCGGAGCGCCTCCTGAAGGAGGAGGTCGGCGGCGGGGCCAGAGCCCCTCACGGGTCGTCAAAGTCCTACGTTCTCTCGGTCCGTGCGGGCGCCGCGTTGCAGGTTGACAGGGCTGCGGATCCCAATGGTAAGCTTTGTATAGTCGGACCTGGGACAGAAAAACATCCTGCAAGAACATGAGACCCTCCGCCGGCCAGAGGGCGAGGGGCCGCAGGAGAGGCAGGGGCTGGCACGCTTCGTCGACCCAGGGTCGCGCACAGCGCACATCGAGCTTGTCATCCATGGGCCATTGTTGCTGTCATGCTTTCGGGGGATGATGCTGCAAGTGGCGCGAGCACGTGAATGGCATGGCAGTGCTGGAATGTGCTGCTTCCGCTGCTGCAATTGCCACCACTTCACGCTTCAAAGTGCGAACACGATTGAAGGGCCAGGCATTGCAGCGAGAACCACAGCACATTCTGCTGTCAAGAAAAAGCAGCAATATTACCACGCAAATCAACACCGCTCCCAGTGTCAGCACCAACGTGGTCATCACAATCATCATCAACACCATCACCACACTTCACCATCGTCAGGCATGTTTATGCACGCTACCACCACAGTAGTCACCAATCGAAAATGTCTGGCATGAGAACCCAGCGTCGTCGTACTGTCGCCGACAAAGAGCCACGAGCATGACAACGACCATCGCCATTAGCACTATCCTGATCATCACCCTTCCTGTGGAGAGCCGGGATATGAGCTGCTTGGAGTGGATGATGACCCCTGGAGCCTTCGAGACAGACTGCGTGCTGACTTCGCTCCTTCAGACGGGCGTCGGCCACAAAAGAGCGAGAAGTTGGAAGCCTCCCGCGACCACTTTCAGACGCACGCACACGCTTTTCCTCTGACACACTGGAGAGTACAGTCATCGGGTGCCGGGATCGAGCCCGATGCCCCAAACGCGTAGGCACTCGAACTCTGTGATACCAGATGCCCCCGTCGGGCGCCATCCTCAGTCGAAGTGTAGTTCCTGGCGCGCTGCGACCAAACAAAGTCCCTCCACGCATCGGCACAGTTTGACAGCTCTACCGTACACACGCCTGCAGAACTTCTGTCGGCGTGTCGGGGCAGATCTGGATGACCGGCGGCCGCGGAGATGCAAACGAGAGGCAATCCAAAAACGACTCCGACAGAGAAGATTGTTGGGCAAGAGATGATAACCGACGAAGGAACAGAAATGATAATCGACTCCGAGGACTGGACGCAGCCACGTCTGAGGCCTCCACGGAACGCCTGCACTGCCAGGTCGGACTTTGATCTCGCCTGCCCGTGGTCTGCCGTGCACAGATGGAAGCTACGTGAGAGCGGTACACCCTGCGAAATGCTTAAGAAATCATGGGTTAAGAAACTCATAGTCTCAGAACTTGGATAAAAACCCAACATTTCTATTAAAATGTTAGGATTCACATCGAAACATTAAGAATCATCGAGACTCTGGCCGAAAACTTAAGTTTTCTTAAGCATCGCCTAAGGTGTACTGTTGCACAGAGGGGCATCCATCCAATGTGCGAGCTAGGCACCCAGGACCTGCTCAGACATCAGACTCAACGACTTGTCTCTAGCCCCCCTCCACGGGGCAATGTTTTCGTCCTGGATCGTTTTATGACGGTCCTGGAGTCCGTAACGGCCTCCAGAGGACCAAATTGAACAGAAAATGGCTGCCTCGAACTTGTTGGACGCCGGAAGACATACGCACGGCGGCCTCACCTCACACTTGCTTGGCGGCGCGCCTCACCTCACCTCACCTCACCTCACCTCACGCGTGGCTGACTTGCGACACAGGTCACCGACCCTGCTCCTGCCTGAAGCCCGAGCGTGGCCTTCACGAAGAAACTGGCGAATTCAAAGCGGAGCGCGCTGTGCGGGAAGCAGCGGCGAGACGGAAGACTGAAGAAAAAATGAGAGAGACCGGAGGCCGACAAGGAAGAGGCCCGCGCCAGAGCGAAATGAGCGGCCCGGGGTCCGAGACGTCCTGCTCCCCCTCGATGGAAAATTGAAACCACTAAAACAAAAAAACAAGCAAGACGATCGAACAAACAAAAAACAGCCGCGGCCAAATCAAGGCGGGAGACATCGACCCCGTTTTCGGGCGTCATTTGCGGAGCCAGGATCGATCCGTGGGGGTGGGGTCATGGGGGACGGCATGGGATACAAACGCCCGTCGTCGTCGCCGTCTTCCGTCGTCGTCGTCGTCGTCGTCGTCGTCGTCGTCGTCGTCGTCGTCGTCGTCGTCGTCGTCGTCGTCGTCGTCTTATTGCGTCGTCGTCGTCGTCGCCGTCGTCGTCGTCTTCCGTTGGCGTCGGCGTCGGCGTCGCACGGAGCGCCCCAAAGCGGCGCGACCCCCCAAAGGCGCGCGGCGGGCGCCAGGTCCTGCCGCCGGCGACGGGCGCCGAGGGCGCCGAGGGCCGGCGGCGGCCGGCGGAGGCCGGCCTCGTACCCCCAGGGCGGGGGCCCCAGGGAGCGGCCGAGGCGGCCGCCCTCCGCCCGAGGACAAAGCTGGAGGAGGAGGCTCGAGGAGGAGGCTCGAGGAGGAGGCTCGAGGAGGAAGGTCGAGGAGGAGGCTCGAGGAGGAGGGTCGAAGAGGAGGGCCGAAGAGGAGGGTCGAGGGGCTCGAGGAGGAGGAGCGAAGAGGAGGCTCGAGGAGGAGGGCCGACGGCGGAGGGTCGAAAAGGAGTAGCGAGGAGGATTGAGGAGGAGAATCGGCCCTCCTCCTCGACCCTCCTCGCGCGGCGGGGATCGGCCTGAGGCGGGGGGGGGGGGCGTTCCCAGACCCCCTCGACTCGTGCAAAGATCACGACGGATGGCTTTGTAGCTATCTTCGGCCTCTGGGGGTTCTCTGTCGCCCGGCCCTGGGACCTTAACAAAATGTCTCGGGATGAAAAACGGACCATGGGGAGGCTGTCGGAAGGAAACGATTATCTCTCTCTCTCTCTCTCTCTCTCTCTCCCTCTCTCACTCACTCTCGCGCGTGCGGGCCCGAAGCGGGGCGCGCGGCGGAGCCTCAGCTCCACGTGGCTTTTCGCAACACACTACAGAATTGTAAAAGAAGATGCAATGGCAACCCATATCCGATAGATTACCATACTAGTGCACGGCGTGCCCAGGAATCTCCCTCTGCTTGAATGTGCCCAAGCCGTTTTGAAGCTGCTTTCTTGTGGGTTGCGACCCAATCCCGAACTTGTAGTTTACGACACCTAACCTCTAGCTCGTGCGCGGCTCTCTGCAACCAATCCACCCAAGGCTCTAGATCAGGAACGTTCGCCAGATCAAGAATTCGATTACGACGTATTTGACGATGTGTTTCGCGAAATTCCCTCCTTGAACATTTGTCGGTGACGCCTGTTAAGAACTATCTGGAGCATCTTCCGCTGAACTCTGCGCACTACGTATGTCAGCTCATGGGTTAATACCCCAGTGACGTTTCCATTTGGAAAAAATACAGTAGCGTCAAAAAACCGAAGGCGTGCATTGAGCGAATACCGCTTGTTGGTCAACTCGTCTCTCTGTGCAATGAAGCTCTTCCATGTCACGTTGATCCGGTGCTCGCCTTCAACGTCATGTGGTCGATCAAAACTAACTTGCCTCCCAAGATACTTGACCTTGCTTTCATACGGTACAACCTCACTGCTCATGTTGCCGACCTTCACGTGAGAATATTTCGGCCGCCCTTTTCCCTTCGTTGCATTGGATAAGATCTTTGTTTTGCCGGGGTGGAGCAATAATCCTCGCTTCCTCGCTGCTTCTTTCAAATCGATGAGCATGTGGTTGAGCTGTCGAAGGGACGTCCCCATCAGCAACACATCGTCAGCGAAACGTGAATTGGTAAGTTGCCGGCACTTGCTGCACATCAGGCGCAGACCCCAACTGTTTTTTTCCCAGGCTGGCTTTACTTCCGCAAAAACGTCCTCGAGCACAGAGTTAAACAATGAACTGCTAAGTGGGTCGCCCTGTTTGGTGCCGCGTAAGATGTCAAACTCTTTGCTCAGCCGGTCTGTGCGAACTCTTCCTGATTGGCCGGAATACAGATTCTTGAGCAAACGCACATATCCACCAGGGGCGCCTTGCCTCTCAAGCGCTTCCCACATGCAACTGTGCTGAACAGAATCTAACGTTTTTTGAAAGCCTACTGCGATATCCACACGCATCATGGCACTTCTCTTGTGCCATTGCCACATGATGTGTTGTCCCCACACCAGGGCGGAAACCCGCTTGATCAATGCATTGATGTGCATCCAGCACTGGAAACAAACGAGCGTGTGGCAGTTTTGCGAAAACGTTGTATTACATGGGTATCACTGCGATGGGTCTGTAAATGTTGGCGAGAGCCGCGTCGCCAGATTTATGTAAAACCGTCACGATAGATTGTTTCCAGCTGCTTGGTGGCTCGCAACAGCCAGATATAATATCAGTAAACAGCTTCAAAACTAGAAGCTCCAACTGCTCACCGCCAATCTTGATCATTTCAGCAATCACGCTCCTCTGGTCCTTACACTTCCCTCGCCTCAATTTTCTTGTGTGCGCCCGTAGCTGGTCTAGTGTGAATTCGGGTATGGGGCTGTCCTCCTTTTCGCCTGCGTCCGACGGCCGTGGTGCATCTTCTGCCTTGTACGATTGCGCATAGAAGTCCGCAAAAACATCTGCGATTGATTGCCTGTCAGTAACAGTCTTGCCGCTGCCGTCGACCATGTGGGAGATCATGCGTTTCCTATTATCTCTTTTCATTGCGGGTTGTTTTGCAATCCCCAAAATGATTCCAAAATTTCGTTGATTCTTGTTGCGGCTCTGGCCCTCCGTATTGCCCGGACCTCTCTGGAAATACGCTTGCTCAACGCACCCCTCTCCTCGCACGAACTGCTCATTGATTTCCTCTGCTGTAGAAGACGGCGTAATTCTGATTCCCCATGCTCTTGCGCCGAAGCATTCCGGGATGCGGAATGAGCCTCCCTGGCAGCATCCACCATCAATTCTTCAATCTTCTCACAAGCCCCATTTCCATCGCCCGGCGCCTCAAAGGAAACGCATGCCGATTGCAGTGTCGCTGTGTACGCAGAAATATCGGCATTAGACCAATCAGCATGCAGTTTCTTCGTTTTGTTTCCTCGTGGCTTCTTCCCATTTGCTCTCATAACAGCAGACACGGCTTTGTGATCGCTGCCCGAGGGGAACGATGGTCACCCAAAGATCCTGCTCGCAACGTGGGATTTTGCCCTGCGGATCGATCCTGGTCGAAAAATGCAACAGAAAGATTGGATCCAGGGCTCCCGCCGAATTTGTCCGCGATGTTGCAATTGTTCGGTGACGTTGGATCTCAGGGGATGGTCGCAGCATCGCAGGTCCGGTTCCTGGTCGGCGCGACGGCCGCAGGGGGACCGCCCGACTCCACGCAGAGAGCTGCCCCAGGCAAAAGTGGCCCGTGGGCCTTTGGCGCGCGGCTTGCCGATCGTTACCTGAGATGCGGCAGTGGCGGCCTTCGTGCTTGGGTTTGACCCCCCCCGACGAGGAGGAGGAGATGGAGGAGGAGGAGGAGGAGCGAGGAGGAGGAGGAGGAGGAGGGAGGAGGGAGGAGGACGAGGTGGAGAAGGGAGGAGGAAGACGAGAGGAGAGACGAGGGAGGAAGGATCAGGAAGGAGGGAGGGAGGGAGAGGATAGGGATGAGGGGGAGGAGGAATCATAGGGGGGACCTGGAATCGGCAGTACATCGCCGACAGATCGGCGATGGGCACAGCGAATCCGCACCTTCCTGGGTGGGGTGGGCTATCAGGCACCGGCTGGTGATGAGTGGGCGATTGGGGGTCGATGCATTCCCTCCTCGGCCTGCCCCCCTAACGTTGCCAATGACATCGGCCAAGGCTCAGGAGGACATTTGATACTCTGGATAGGGAGGCCCTGACATCCTCGCGTTGAGAAAAAATCGCGGCGGATACTTTTGGGGGCAAGTCCCACCAGCCCTCTGGGCGCAGGTGGTTTAACGAGTTGTGTCTTCTCTCTGCCCAAAATCTCTCCTTCCCCTGCTCGGGGGAGGCGTTTCCCCATTCCCCTAATTACCCATATCCCTCCTGGGCCTGGGAGGGGGGGTGCGCGGATAGATAGAGCGTCCAAGATGGCCCAAGGTGGCTCCAGGAGGTTCTCAGAGACCCCAAGATGGCCTTCAAAATGGCTCAAGATAGCTCAACATGGCTCAAGATAGCCTCTGGCACACATTCAAGAAGTCTGAAGACGGTCGCTAGACGGGTTCAAGTGCCCTCCGAGCCCTCCAAGGACCCTCCAAGACGCAAAAATGGCTCCCACCTTTTCGCCTTTTCGCCTTGTTGCCTTCTCGCCTTTCCGCTTCCGATGGGCCTCGGAGTCCCCAAGGTGGCTGGTGGCTCCAAGATGACCCAAGAAAGCTCCAAGGGTGACCCAAGTGGGCTCCAAGACGGTCCCAAGAGCACCCAAAAGCGCCCCAAGAGCGGCCCAAGACGGCCCCAAGACACCGTTTTTGAGCCTCCGAGGGGGGGAGCTGGATTTTCGACCCCCCTTCGCTTTGAACAGAGAACCCAAGAATGCCTCAAGAGGAAACCCAGACCCTCCCGAAAAGCCCCAAGAGGGCCCCTAGACCCTCCAGAAGAGTCCCAAGAGGGCCCCCAGAGTGCCCCAAGTGGCTCTGCGAGGACATCAAGGGGGAAGCATCGAGATGGAGCCGACGATACATCGCCGAAAGATTGGCGATCGGCCTATGATAGTCTATCCACACGTTCCTGAGTGGGGCGGGATATCGGGCCCTATCGGCGATCGATGGGCGACTGGGGGTCGATGCACCCAGCCATCCTCCATGTGTGATTTGTTTACAACGTGTCTCCCCAGAGGTATGGACCCCTTCCCCAGGACTGGCTTTTCATCCCGATACATTATCGACGGTCCCGGGCCAACGGAGCGAAAATAGGCAACAACCTCCGTGGTGGTGATGTCGCCCCTGAGCCATCAGCCCCCCTAGCGTTGCTCCTGAACGAGGGACTCTCGGCGGCGGCGACCGCGGCACCGGCGCAACCCTCGGCGGCGGCGAGGACGCCCAGAGCCCGAGGCGCCTGGACCCGCTGGCGCCGTCGCCGCCTGGTCGCGCCACCCCCCCCCCGCGCGCGAGGGAGGCGGGGCCCCTCGCAGCCCTCTTCGCGGGGCGGCGCGGGCCTGTGGGGGGGGTGCCTGGGAGGGAGGGCCGAGGCACTGGACTGCAGCGCAGTCAGGGATGACGGCGAAGACGACAACGGCCACGACCACGACGACGACGACGACGACGGTGATGATGTTGGTGGGGATGATGGCGGGGATGATGGCGGTGGTGGTGGTGATGATGGTGATGCTGATGCTGATGGTGGTGGTGATGCTGATGCTGATGCTGATGCTGATGCTGATGCTGATGCTGATGCTGATGCTGATGCTGATGCTGATGCTGATGCTGATGCTGATGCTGATGCTGATGCTGATGCTGATGATGCTGATGATGCTGATGATGCTGATGATGCTGATGATGCTGATGATGCTGATGATGCTGGCGACGATGATGATAGCAGTGATGATGATGACGACGGCGACGATGATGATGGTGGTGGTGATGGTGGTGGTGATGATTGTGATTGCGATGATGATGATGATGATGATGATGATGATGATGATGATGATGATGATGATTATTATTGTGGTGATGATGCTGATGCTGATGCTGATGATGCTGATGATGCTGATGCTGATGCTGATGGTGATGCTGATGATGATGATGATGATGATGATGATGATGATGATGGTTGTCAAGACGTTGTAGATGTTGATGCTGCAGAGGGGAGCGGCAATGCGACGGGGGAAGGAGGTGCGGTCGTTGCACCACCACCCCCACCCCGCCTCAATCCCCACCCCTCCGACCCTGGGCTGCTCGCCGCTGCCGCAGCCTCCGATCCTCCTCCTCCCCCTCCGCCCCCCCCTCCTTCTCCACCCTCGCCCTCGAAAAGCTGCCCACCAGGGCCTACCCTGAAGCACGCCCTGGCCAGAGGGGGGGGTGCTCGAGGCGAGGCCGGCCGCGGCACGCAGGGCGGCCCGGAAAATGACAGAGCGGCACTAAAGAACTGGGCGTTCGCCCCGAATGGCAGGCCCATATGGGGTGCTGATGTCTTGCACGGGGGCGCCTCCGGAGGCAAAAAGGAAGGCTCGCGGGGACTTCTGGCGAGGGGGCGCGGGACGGGAGGGCGCGCCGCAGCATCGGCTGACGCACCTCGGGTGGACTCTCCCCCATCCCTGCGCCGCACCTGCCACTCGCCGCTCTGGCGCGCAGCGCCGCTGGTTGTGCCTGCCTGGCCGCCTCGGCGCCCGCGGCCGGGTGCGCGCGCCTGGGCCCTGTGGCGTCGTGCTCGCTGCGGCGCCTCCCATGCCGACGAGCCGCACGCTGCATCGACCCCGCGGTCCACACGCCCCTCTGCCCCTCCTGGGGCGCAGAAGGATAGGTCTGGTGCTGCGCGTCATCGCCACTCTTGGAGGCGCTCGTCCGTACCGAGCATGAAAGGAAGAAAAGACTGGATGAACATAAACGTTCAACGCGGACCGTCGACAGGCTTTGCTTATGCCGCTTCTTTTTTTCTCAAATCACCACCCAGGCGGCATGGCCAGAACGTGCCCGCCACCGAGCACATACCGTAAGATGCCTGAGCGCGCGCGTCGCCCATGGGGGGCCGACGCACACTTAGTACAAGTACGTTTGGGTGATGCCGACCTCCCCTCCGCCTCGAGGAAGAACCTCTCGGCGAAGCGTGTACCCAGAAGACACCAGACCTGATTACGCGTGGTCTCGCGGTCCGTAGCCCTTTGGCTCTCTTGAGCTATCCGTCGTCGCTCCAACTACACCTCGAAGCTTGAAATGGAATGCCCCAACGGCCAACTCCAAGAACGACTCCTGGAGCGAGCCACCTCGTCGCCAGCAGCGCTGGAGCAGCATTGGCCCGCCCTCTGGAGAGCCCTCTGATGCCAACCTCCTCTCCCTCCCTAGTCCTCAGACGCCGCGTCTCTTCCACGACGCGGGACCCTAGAGTTCCGGGAAGCATCCCGAGACCTCTCGGTTCGCCGCAGGCCGTCTTCTGACGGCCCCCTGGGTCCAAAGACTGCCCCCGGAGGCCCGAATCGAAAGACGTCCGTTCGGGTGCTCTTTCACGGGGGGGGCATCAACGTGGGGTGAAGAAACGCGCACCGTTTGGGCCTGCGGTGGCAGTGTTGGGGGCCCTTTGGGGCCACTCTCCTGCAATCCCCGATCCCCCTACGCTTCTTGCCCCTCCCGTTGCCGTCCGCCCGATCCGTGGAGCGTGATCTCTTCACGAAGCTGGAGGGCTGGGTCTTCCTTCCTCTCCACCCCCCTCCCCTCACACGTTTGGTAATCGGCTGAAGGAGTTTGGGCGGGGCAATTAGTTCAGACCAACCCGAAACGGGCGGGCTCCGTGGACCCTCGGGCGAAGGGCCTCAGGAGGCCTGCCATCTCGGAAGCGCTCGCCTCCTATGGGCTCACGCTGGCCCAAGCACGGTTGTTCAGGGTCCCAGGTCTCGGAGGCTAGAGCTCGGCGAGAGCAGGGGCCACAGAGCCCGCTCTCTGGAATTCAATTCGGCATGACGCCCCTGTGGCAGGGTCCCGCCTCGCACGTTTGGCGGCGGGCCTGGCGCTCGCACAGATCGAAAGA